AGAAAGGTTCCGGGTACGGGGAAAGACCCGCAGGGGGCGCTAATAAAGGAGCACTAATAATTAAAATAATTAAAATAATTCTTATTATTCTAATAATTAGCTAAAATAGCAAGGGGAATCTGGGCCCTTGCGGGTATTGCCTGGATTTCTACTGGATAGAGCTGGCTGCTTTTGGAAAAAAAGGGAAAAAGTAATAAATAAAAGAAAAATAAAAGAAAAATTTTAAAATAAAATAATAAAAGTATAAAATAAAATATTAACAATAAAGAAAAGATAAAAATAGAAGAAAATAAAATGCTTTTAAAATAAAATAATAAAAATGTAAAATGAAATATTAAAAATAGAGAAAAAATATAAAAAATTTTAAAAAATTAAAATAAAATAAAATAAAATAAAATAAAATAAAATAAAATAAAATAAAATAAAATAAAATAAAATAAAATAAAATAAAATAAAAATAAACCCTGATTTTAGGGATAAAGAGCTCTGGAATCTCCCAACACCAACTCCAGGCAGGCAGAGAAAATAAACTTGGGGTACCCTGGAGATTCCCACATTCCACCCCAAAATTCCCCCTGAAAGATTCCACAGGGAAATTCCCAAAGAAACCCCTCAGGGAATTGTGTGGGATGGGGCCACACGAAAAGCTCAGGAATTGCAGACACAGAGCTTGGCCTTTATTCCAGTTTATTATTTCCACACCTCCCCGCGCCATCCCGAGGGCCATTCCCGCTTTTCCAGAGGTTTTCCAGAGGTTTTTTTTTCCCCCTCCTGGGGTCGGTGCTGCCTGAGGGACGGGGCTTTGGAAAAGGGTTGGGAATTCTTGGCACGAGCAGCTGGATTGGGATGGGACAGAGGATGGATCCATAAAAAAAACAAAAAACCCAACCAAAACTCAGTTTTGGAATGCCAGGAGAAAGGATGGATCCATAAAAAAAGTACCCTGGAATGGCAGATGGAGTTTGGATCCATAAAAAATCCCACTTGGGAGGTTGGATCCACCAGGAATGCCTGGGAAGGAACAAAACAAAGCCGAGTTTTGTTGGTTTCTTCCTCCATAAAAAAAGCTCCTGAATCCGTTTATTGCACAAAGAACGGGAAAAAAAAAAATCAATCCCACCAAACCCAACCTCGGCCACGGGCAGCTGGAATTTCAGCCGAGGAATTCCACCTTCCCTGGGAATTCCAGGGAGAATTCCCAACTCCCCGGGTTCCTTGTGGAGCCAGCAAGGGGCGTTTCCTGCTCCAGATCAGCCCAATTCCACCCCAAAAATGCAGGAAGCAAACTGGGATTGCCAGGAATTTGGGAAAGACGAATCCCCCTCTTCCCCTATCCCCACTTTTTTTTTATTCTTTCCCATCCAATTCCAGTTCTGGAGTGAAATTGAGGAGAAGAAGGAAGGATTTTTTTCTTCTCTCCAACTTGGAAAAAAAAAAGCTGGAAAACCCTCATTATTTAAAATATTCCTGTGCATTCCCCAATTTAAAACTGCCACGACATTCCCATGAATTCCATGCCCCAGATCCTGCTTTAAAAGGAATTTTGGCACTTTTCCCTAGGAGGAAAAAAAATATAAATTGGATAATTTTATGGACTTTTTTGTGCTGCTCCAAAGTGGAACCTCTGAGGAACGGAGCGTGGAAACAAGGGAAGGTTTCTCCAGCCATTCCAAGGAATTTAAGGAAGCAAAGGAGAAGGGGGGAAGAAAAAAAAATAAGAGGAGGAAAAGGTGGGATTAGGGATCAATAGCTTATCCAGGTGGGGTTTTCCAAATCCCCGTAGAAAAAACACGGAAGCTTTGCTCCTGTCCATGTAAACATTTCCAGCTCCTTGGAGCTTCCCAACACTTCCTCATCCTAAAGTTTTGTGCCTTTTCCTTCCTCTCCCAGCGCTCTGGAATCGCTGCCAATGGCTGAGGGAGGAGCGGGATCGTTATCCCGGAGTTTTGGGAAGGGATTTTTCCCATCCCATGGATCGCCCACGAGGCTTGGGATGGGACTAGTGAAGCCTCCAGCGAGTCCCAAGGGTTTGGATTTTCCATGCCTTGGCCGAGCAATTCCAATGGGATTTTCCATGCCTTGGCCACGCAATTCCAATGGGATTTTCCATGCCTTGGCCACGCAATTCCAATAGGATTTTCCATGCCTTGGCCACACAATTCCAATGGGATACAGGGCTGGGATTGGGATGGAGCCATCACCCCCCTGAGCCCCCTCCGAGCTCCTCCCTGTCCCCCTCGGGGCTGGCTCTGAGCTCCA